TGAGCTTAGAATCCAGTCGATGATTTGTGAATGTGCCTACGCTTAACTCTGGGATCAAAGTTACAAAGTACAGCCTTGTAGTGCTATATAAACTGGGATTGTWRAAAGKGTTTCTATCGACTAATTTACGTTSGAAAGACACCATTTCTTCTATAGCGTGAAGGTAAGTTCTTTTCTCGTGGTTGATATTGTTTATGTTGTGTTCACTTCGGCAGTTTCTACTTTTAATGACACTTTGCTTACATTTTGTCTTTWTTCAAGACGTTAAGTTTGCGTGTACAAAATCGATGTACATGGTACAGATACTTAATATAATTATAAACATCTTAAAGTCTTTAAAAAAGACTCGAGGCTCATTTAATGAAGTCACGTTTCAAATTRTTGTGTAMAGACACGACATATAAACTTCTCGTTTTAATTGCTAACCTATTTTTTATACATTACTAATTTCAATGCCTTGCCTTGGTTTCTGAACTMTACTTTCTGGTTGAATAACTGATTCTCACTTAGACAAATCATAATAATCTTAAGTAGCAGTTTGTTTTTATTTTGATCAACTACGATGACTCCAAGATCCGTTATGCTATCAATTTGACACGACTCTGTTAATAAAATCGATAAGGGTTCTCAATGAACACTGAATTTATCTCAAGTTCGGCTTATGCCRGTCAGCTTGTAATTTATACCYAATGTTCATCAGCCTTCTGGGCAGCAGACTATCGGTTAACAGACTGCAACTGACCCCTGTAGTGTATGTGAAAATTCGCGAAAACAAAAGGTCAATGAAATATGATGAAGAGTGAAGGTTTGGTTGCTAACGATTTTCAAAGGACGGGAAAACCTTTCTACGTTATTAGCAAGTGAGTATTATGAAGAGAACTTAGCAAGATAAAGTTTTATTTAAAATGGCGTAAAAAAGTTGTCAAAAGTAATACATGCTATTAGAACTATAGCTAACCTAAGCATTTGAAAAAGATAACTTGCTGGAGAGAAATATAACTTATTATTTTTTTCATTAGGGCAGACAAATGACATAATTGCAAATTTTAATTTGAAACAGCAAAAATGTGCAGAGTTATGTCCTTAAAAGCAATAAAACGAGATGAAAATAACTCTGATTTGTTCCCTCCAAATAGATCTTTTTCTTCACGTTCGAGTGTTGTTTTATCATTTCTTAAATTCCTTGAAAACAACTGACTATTAATAACAACGCCTCAAAAACKTAAACGACAAGCAACTTCATCAATTTTGTTAAAATTGAAAAGGATTATTAGCTTATTGCAAATCTGTTTACTTATGACGAGTTGTAACTGAAATAACTTTGAGCCACTAGATTGGAATTCCTCAAAAGGGAAGGAAATATTACTAAGCATTTGAAACCATAAAAACAAATGTTGTGGAAAAAAAATCTCATCAAACCGCAACATTCCCCGTTTCAAAGGGAATTTTTATCCGAAATKTTCTTCATTATTCTCTGAGCGTCTTTCGGAAAGCAACTTTAGAAAGCTTTAAAACTTGAACAAAAGAATAGGCCTCTGTTGTCTAAATTTGGATGTAGTTTATTGAGATGTAAACAAGTTTCACGAGTTTGAGAGGATTGTGGCTAACCGGAGACTAGCGTGGTTTGTCCCACTGTGTCATATAGTGTCCTAWACAATGGCAGCTTTTGATYAACGCTTGACTTGTTAAGATAGTCATCGAATGTTGGATAGCTGGTAAGGTTGGTAAAATAGTTTAKTAATCCTTTGGTTACATGCGTTTTGGTGCCAGAAATTCGGAAAATGTCAGTTTTTTACAGTTGTGCAACTGACCACTGAGAGAGTTGTTAGCCAAGAAGCATCTTACGAAAAAACTTGTGAAACAATTAATTCTGGGTTTCATAAACTACTGTGTATTGCTGAATTAGCAATAACTAATAATAATTATTAATAGTAATTCCTTCATTTGCCTTATTCCATAAATATTTAATTGGAAAAGCATCGTCACATCATGAAATTCCAGCTAAACCAGAATGCTTTTTCGTTTTTTTTTTTGCCACTATAATTTTTTTATTTATCTATAACGATAGAAATGCAATGCGACAATCTACTTAACTTGAAAAAAACTCAGGGCTGTAACTGTAACTTGTATTTAACCGSAAAACAAAATTATATCGACTTATGTATTTCACTACATCCAATRTTATAAAACGTGTGATCAAAGCGACTTCATATCAAAATCTGTWCAATTAATTATCCCTGTAGTCTAGATAACCAATCATATGGTCTCATTTATCTACCAATCAGACAATCAATGTCATCAAGAGAATCTCCCTAAAATCAAAACCACAAGTCCCTAAGTCTAGCATCCTGTTATGCCATCCTCTTAGATTTCAGTAGAAATTTGAAAATCCCCCACGCAAGGGGCCAAGATCCAAATGCCATTAATTGGTCGATTTGTAATTCAACGCAATGTGTTAGGGTGGAGTGGGGGTAGGGTGCATTTTTAAAACGACTGTTCTAATTTAGGAAGGCTTGTGCTGAAGTGCTGACGCACAAGATTCTGACCGSCCCTTGTTGCAGTTATTTCTGGTTTCAATTGTTGAGATATTTTTGTGAGTGATTGTATTTTGTGGTGGGAAGTTTTAATTGACGTTATCCAATATTTCTATAGAGATTTTCCTCGGAGCTTTGGAATACCTCCTCAGAATGAAAAATGCGATAAAGTTTAGGAAATTTTGGACGATTACAAGCATCCAAAATCCAAAATCAGCATGTTGAAATTGATTTCGGCATTTCATACTCAGACTGGACCCTCTCCAATCCCTTTAGGGTCGTTACTTAGGCTCATTTCGTTTGAAAATAAACTTCCCACTGTCTCCTATATGAGTCCTTCCCAAAAGAGTTATCGGTTTGTTAAAACAACGAAAGTAATTTCCAAATAAGACATTTGGAACTTTTCTGCATAAAAAGAGTAAACTGCAATATATCAAGTTGCAAACTTTCAATGCATTGTAGATAATATTAAATTGGTAAGTTTTCAAGCTCAATTTTTTTCAATTCTTGGGAATTAAAAAAATAAACAGTTTATTAAAACTCTATTCTGTAATTTTTCCTAGATTAAGTGTGCGTTGAAAGTGATGTACAGTAATCTATAGTGATGTGCATTTAAAAAGCCGAAAGGTCTTGCAAAAGCAAGAGTAGTATAGTAGGCACAAGTGACGCCCAAGAAWCWGTCACGTGATATGTAACGATAGCGTCGTACGGTTATCAGCAAAACATAATACTAATCCATGAAATAACAAGATTACAACCTCCTACGAAGACTTATCTTACAGCCCCATACAGGAACAGTTTAATTACAAGGTTTTTTATAAAAACTGATATCTCTATGTAATAAATTTAAGGGCTTCTTTTTAATAGCAATCTAAATTTTACATTGATATTTTCAGATTCTGAAAATCAATTTGTATCCGTGCTATTATATATATTTGCTGATCCTAATATTCATAACACGGAAAATTATGCTGGTTATTGCGGAAAACCTACATTATGTCAACATGGCCTCACAGACAGATAACTTGATAGTCCAACAGAAATGACATAAGTTCCACATTTAGCGACCATTACCAATGCAACAGCACGATCAATTCAATGCTCTAAGGCAGTTTGAGTACCCAAGCTGTTATCTYAAAACGAAACCACGTTTCGCTAATATTAATAGAGCAATTAGACGCGACACTGTGACTCAATGATCRTCACGTACAATAATAATWTAAATTTACGACTCGATTATTCAGCATCCGAGTAAAAGCACAAGA